GTCCCCACCAGGATATATAAACCAGTACACACACACACACACACACACACATATATATATAGATAGATAGATAGAGAGAGAGAGAATTACATTTTTAGGTGTCATGTGTATTTCGAAAAAAAAAAAAATGAAACCACAAATCAGAGTTGTAAACTGCTCTGAACATGTCTGAAGTTTTGGTAACGGTTGCAAAAATATATTTAGGTGAGCGGCTCTTTTCATTGACTACTTGTTGAGAAATCAAACAAAATTGACCTTTTTCAAGCACTGTAGTAACTGTGGTATTTTGACGTAAACGGTGGTAAATGGTGGTAAACTCAGAAGCCGAGCTGATACTGATGGTGTCACATGACCTCGCCGCTGTCCGTGGAGTGTATTTAACCGTGATTTCACGCTGTTCAGACAGTTCTAGGTGTTCTCGCGCTCTTCACAACAAACAAGCATTTGAACTTTGCTGTTTCTATAGCTAGACGATTCACTTCCCGCAAACTTCAGCTCTTGAAGTCATGAAGCATCAGAACGAATGTAACGTACCTGTAGTCAAACGAGTTTAAACACGTAACGTCAGCGGAGCATTATGTTGTCTATTTTGAGTTTTTATCTGCCTGTGTTAAAGTTCAACACACTTTCTGGTTTTATTTATTGCTGCTACAGGAACGTTTGGACTCAAGTTTCAGCATTACAATCTGTCTCAGATAGTCAACAGCCTTTATTGACAATATTAGATTTGTTTATTTAATTGTGGCATATTTACATCGTGTTTTTACCTGCAGGTTATGCGAAGATCTTGAAGGAGGATGAACTGCATTTGATTATGAGTTCATCATAAGTCTGTCAGATTGGATGTGTGTTGTTAGTTATGTGGAGGCATCGGCGATCAGTCCTATAAGCGTTTCGCGTGATTAGATTCCTTTAAGCGCTGTAGCAGAGCAAGTGAGCATTTTAATTTATCAGATAAAGGCCTCGTGATTTTGGTCCCAAACCAATCTTAATGTGTCTGAGAAGAGGACAGCTGCTCCTCTGATGTGTGCAAACCATATAATTCATTACGATCATGTATTAAGACTCTGACAACAGCGATCGAGTGAATCTTACACAAAAAATATGAATATTTCACCCAAACAAGCTAAATTAATATTTGCATTTTTTTTTTTTTGGCATATTGACATTTATTTGCATGACAATGAAACTAATTGTAACTACCTTTTGATTTTGGGGTGAATTCATGGTGATTTTGATGAGATTCGTCTGATGGACACCTGTAATCTTGTGTGTTTGAACACATTGGACTGTATTTCTGGACATCATGATGGAGCATGCTGATTCTGTCCGACGTGTTCCAGGAAGATGAAGGTTTCAGGGCTTCATTGTGCATCTGCATCAAAGTGTTTCGAGTATTTCTGAGGAACCTCATCAGTCTGTGTATTATTATGAATTATTGTGTCTCTTTTTAAGAGCCAAAGCTTCATCTGGTCTGATGTTGATGATGGTTTAGGAGGACTCATGAAAGTATGTGGGACAAATGTAGATCTTCTTAAAAGTAATTATGGATGACAATGACAATGATGATGCACTGCTCTGGTGTTTAATAGCGATTCCATCATGTGTAACGTTACTGCGCCATTAAAGACTTTATCAAATGGATTGCCCAGCTTAGTTTTCTTCTTTACATATTTCCTGTTGGGGTGGGAATTACCAATCCTTTTTATTATATAGAGGCCATTTTCACCATCCAGTCATTTCCTGGTAGTTCAGATCAAGTCATGACTTACATTTACTCTTTGTCTATTGTTTCATTCAGAAATACAACAGAATGAGAGTAAAATGGGATGCAAACACTAATTCAAGTTGATCAAGTGAAACGGCATTTGGAAATTAGACAACCTAATTAAATTAGCGAATAAATGAAGATATTTGAGGGTATCTAACCTTCTTTTCCCGCGAAGGACAGATTTACGTGAGATTTACCACTTCTTCTGAATCATGCTGACGCTGTGCTCATCGCTGAATCTGAATAACGACGTTTTGTAGTCGTATCAATAAGTCACAACTGTATGGGCCTTTAACGCTAAAAACGATAGCTACAACATTAATATATTAGCAACACACCAACGGACGATAACGGTCTGCTTTTCAAACTGCGCGCTTCAGTTGCGTCATTGCAGCCCGCGTACGCGGTTTTAGTTCTGATTGGCTGTCTGTGTTTATCGTTTATCAGTGGGACAAAAGTCGCTCTATTAAGCCCTGTTCACACCAAGAACAATAAGTATAAAGATAACGATTAGCGTCCACACCAGCGAACGATATCGTCTGTTCATTCTAAGCGCACGCACGTCTGCCGCTTTAAATTCTTGAGCTCGTTACAGCAGGATGGATCCTGATTAGTGATGTTTCGTTCGTGAACGAATCGTTCTTTTTGAACGAATCTTTTAGGTGAACGAATCGTTCTCGTAATCCATTGACTCATATTTCTCGTTCACTGAAATTCCTCCCTCTAGAGCAGCGCGGCGCTATTGGCAGCGCATGCGCAGATCAGTGAACCGGGTAGCTCTGTGGACTGTTTCATCCTGTCAAAGAATGACTAAACCTCGGCACACAGCCTGCATAAAGTAGCTGTGATTTTTCACGAACTGTTGTGACTTCCGTAAAAAGTTGACGTCAGAACTAGTCACTGCCTTCAGTCACCACCCTGAGCACAGCCCACCGTCCCACTCTCCTTTTGCCAAACCCCCAGACAACATCGCGTCCATGCCATTGCTGAGCAACAACACGGAAACATGTCGAAAAGTTTAACTTTAACCACGAAACCAGATCGGCCGACCTGTAACGTTACACTCTCACTCAAAGGATGGACGATCTGACAGGAT